AGCCCTGAGTGAATGAGATGCACCTTTAAATGTAAATGCCCCGCGCCGCTCGTTGCCAACCTTCGTCCGCTCGCGGCACGGGGGTTAGGATGAATCATGATGTCGTATATGGCGCTTTGAACTTACGGGCAGAGGGTCTGAGTGGACAAGATGCACATTTAAATAGGAGTGCTGGCCCGTGCCACTCGTCGCCGACCTTCGGTCGCTCCTCGTGGCACGGGGCTAAGGATGATGTTATACAGACAGACTAAACGAATTGTCTCGAGAGCTTCAAACAACTCAAAAGCCCCAAGGAGCCGAAAAAGTGTGAATTATGAGCATCATTCCCCTTCAGCGACCGAAGGCGCGTGTGGTAATTGGCGAAATTTGAATACGAGGTAAGACAGTGAAATATCTCACCATCAATGGGATGTTGCGGCCACGGAGGTACCGTAAAACAGCTGATCAGAGCCAACGACTAGCTGCCGGAAAACGTAGGTACCAAAGGATATAGAACACATACTAGCCGACATTCCGCGAGGGTGTCCTGAGGCGGGTGCTGATATGCTGGGGGGCAGAGTAAGAACGTGTGAACATGCAGAGAAAAAAACGCACCGTTGGCGCTGGACGAGGGACTAGAGCTGGGTGGGTAGTACGATGAAGTGGCTGGACGACGTCAGAAACTAGCGTCCGAAATAAAGACTGACGTACGAAATTGGGGGCGGGAGTGTGGGTAATACAACGTGGCCGCTAAGTGGGATTGCGCTGATAGAGAATTTAAAACCGATCATCAACGGTTAAAGGATGGAAGACGTGCCATATTGAAGGAAGGCGGTGGGATAATACAGGGCAGGTGCCGGGTGAAAATATGACAGAAAGAGACTGATGGGGTGTAAGGGGAAGGGGTAGCTGCGGCAGAAGGCCATGGAGAAGGTAGATCTAAACAGAGTCAAAAGTAGACAGAAGAACGTACAGTATGAGAAGAATGTGAATCAAAATGAAGCCAGAATACAAGAGGGAGTCGTGTAGTTAGGCAGCCCAATCGTACCCGAGGACTAGGTCGGACGGCGATTGGGCCCCAACGGGCGAAGAGAAGGCTCCAGGCCAACAGTCACGGTGAACAAGTATCCCGTTGGGCGATAGGGACGGAGATGAGAGATGAAGGAGGGAGACAAGACGGTGCGAGGGATGTTGGCATATGAGAAAGATGGCACAGAAGCGCCTTCGACAGTGAGAGACATGGGGGGAAAGGGGAAGGCGGGTCGAAGGAGGGGCGGAGCTCTTAAACAGATGCGGGTGGGGGAGGATCATAGTAGAGGCGGACCAGGGGCAGAATAAATTATGATCGAATGAAGGATTTGATACTGCGGAAAAAGCCGAAGCTTTGTTTGGTTTCTTGCCGCACGGGCCGATGTTTTATTTCAAATTCTGCCGGAAAAGCCGAAGCAAAGTACCAGATTGGGTTGGAGGTTAGACAGAGAGGAGAGGATTTTGCCCTAAAAAGGCAGCGAAGTCAAGCTGGGCCAAACGTTTACAAGCAACCAAATATTTGTTCGTTCAAACTCCCGCAGTGGTGATCGGAGAAAATGGTGCAGCAAACGGGTACAAAAACCCACTACTAAAGATAGCGGGAATTATATGCAGGAAATGCTCGTTCGATTCGAGCCCGGGCCACATCACAGCGGCCGCTACTTTTTGCTCTCTCAGTGAGTTGGATTCTGCTTGCTCTCTTATTTAACCAAGCTCATAATAATTATATTTAGTCCCGGTAGCGGATGGTACGTACTTGCACTGGATCATGTCTTTCTGAACTAATATCAGCAGGGATGCTCGTTCGCATCGAGCCCGGGCCATCTAGGGTTCCAGCCTCTCGTTTTGTTCCCTCGGTGAGTTGGATCCGAATTTTACTGAGTTAACCAAGCTCTTGGCTAGCAGAGGAAGGCCCGGTAGCGGATGGTCCGCACCTGCACCCAGTTCGCTGCAATACCATTCGATCCGCAGGAGATGCTCGTTTGATTCGAGGCGGGGCCCGGGCCATGAACGTGCTTGAATCTCTCTTTTCTTGTTCCTCGGTGATGCGATGAGATTTTGGCTGGGTTAAGTAAGGTCCTAACCAGGAGATTAAGGCCCGGTAGCGGATGGTCCGCGCCTGCACTGGAATGGTGTTATTGTCTTGTTCCTCGGTGAATTGGATTCCAATTTCTCTGCTCTAATCAAAGTCCTAACTATGATAGAAAGGCCTGGTATTGGGAGGCCCGCACCTGCACTGTATTTTGCACAGCCTCAACGATGATAAGCAGAAGAGGCTCGTTTAAATCGTGCCCAGGCCATGAGGGACATGCAAGGCCTTTTTACCTCTCAGTGAGTTCCGAATTTCGCTGGGTTAACCAAGGTCCTAACTGTTATATGAAGGCCCGGTCGCGGATACTCCGTGCCTGGATACCATGTTTCTCTACAAACATGAGCCGGAGTTGCTTGTTCGATTCGAGCCTGGGCCATGCTGTATATCTGCCACTTTTTTACCTCTCAGTGGTTTCGAGCTTTGCAGGTATACCGAAGCTCCTCACTGTAATATTAAGGCCTGGGAGCGGATGTTACGCGCTTCACTGGATATCTCCTTCTCACTAATGATCAGCAGGAGATACTCGTTCGATCCGAGCCTAGGCATTGGATGACGAGGCGGTCGTTTCTTTTTGTCTTGTTCCTCGATGAGTTCGAATCTTGCAGGTTAAACCAAGCTCATCGCTATCAGAGGAAGCCCGGTAGCGGATGGTCGGCCCCGGCACTGAATACCATGTTTCCCTACATAAGGAGGAGTTGTTCGTTCGACTCGAGCCCGGGGCATATTGGATATGTTTCTCCTATTTTTATCCCTCAGTGACTTTACGCAGATTTGGGCGGGGGTGGAGTATTCCGCTGTGCAGTTTCTGGCCAGGAAGCGGATCGGCGCGATGTGATGCGAGAAGGGGTCGTTGGAGGCAGATGGCTGAACTGGTGTTGAAGTCGGTCCGAGTTGGACGTTATAAGCGCGCCCTCTATGTTGAATAGATAAATGAATAAATCGATATCTGCGACAGAACACAAAGCTGTTTTTGAGCTATGCAAGAGCTGTTTCCGATTTTCTGATGATTTTCGGTTGATTTCCTGCTTCGGTACTTATATGTGGCAGTGCTGCATCGTTTTCCATCACCTCCGCTCACCGTTCGGGCCAGGCCACAGCTCTTACTTGCCCCCTGCTCTACTCGGCTTTCGCGGGCTGCCTAGGAGATCTAGGGACTTGGAGCGGGCTACCTGTGATACACACTTCCGGATCATTACGACATCCGCAGCAGCAAGCGCCACGCTGCGGCTTGCTTCGCACTGCGCACTACGGCGTGTGGCCTCACGATATAAAGCCGCAGTCTGACGCCCGCGTCCCATTTCTTCTCCCGCCACCATGATCATCACCCCGGACTCGGATCTGAAGGATGTGAAGCAACTGGATGTCGTCGTGAACCGCGCTAGCGTCCCCGTGCGTCGTAGAGTTTTCTGTGCAGCTCGTCATTGACACTCGTTCGCCACAGGACGACCCCCCACCGGCATACTTCCGCCCCGAAACGCAGACGAGCGTATCAGCACCAATACCGGCCCCCGCAGCCGCAGCCTTGATTTCCCCCCCGCCGCCCGACGTCAAGCCGACGAATTTCCTCTCCCTGAGCCGCGGCAACTCCTCCATCAAGGGCGCCTACGTGATCGACCCCGCCGTCAAGATCCCGCCCTTCATGCTGCCCCCGCTCGCGGCGGACGAGACCGCCGCCACGCGCCGCAACGTCTTCCTGCACACCAGCAACGGCGCCATCGACGTTGACCTCTTCGTCGTCGGCGCCTCGCCCGACGCCCCCGACGCCAAGCGCGAAGGGAAGAAAAACAAGATCACGGTGCTCCTCAAGTCGTCGAACGGCGCGATCAGCGCACGCATCGTGCGTCCCCACTCTGTAACTATAAATTAATAAACTGAATTAAACTACAGCACGCGGCCCCGCCGGAAGCCCGCGCCCCCCTGCACCTCACAGCACACACCTCCAACGGCAGCGTCACCTTTCACCTCCCGCGCGCCTTCCGCGGGCCCGTGATCGTGCGCACGGGCCACGGCGCCGTGCGCCTCTCCGACGCGCTCGCGGCGCAGACGACGCCGTTCAGCGAGGCGGAGGGGACGAGGCGGTGCTTCGTCGGGGACTTTGCTGGGTGGGAGGGCGAGGACGAGTGGGCGGGCGATGAGCTGAGCGTGGAGACATCGAATGGGAGTGTGCGGCTGCAGTATGATGCGGAGGCGAGAGCGGCTGCGCCCGAGGGGGGGAAGGGGAAGGGGAAGGGGCTTTTTGGGCGGCTGTTGGGGCTTTAGGGTGTTGGGTGAGATCGGAGTGATGCGGGGTGGGCTCTGCGCTGCGATGAGTGAATGCAGGCTGGGCTCCGTGCGTCGGCGTGCGCATGTACCATAGGCTACCTTTCTTACTCTTCCTTACCACGCCCGCGAGTAGTGTACATACGGCATGCACGTACGAGGTGTATTTAATATCGACCAAAATCTCTAGCTCTCGAAGATGGGCAGGATCTTTGCACAACTTCAACCGTGCCATTACTGGGGTGCAGGTTGGGCGCAAGAAAAAATCTGGTGCCGCCAACATGACCCGGTCTCGATTCGAACGAGCGTTTCCTGTTTGATAGTATCTTCAAAGAGTCACTATAGGTATCCAACGCAGGTGTGGGTCACCGCCACCGGGGCTTCCTCTGTAGGATGAGACCCTCGTTAAACCCTCAAAATTGAAATCGAGCTAGGAAAAATGCTGGGCTGTTGCCGTATGACCCGGGCTCGATTCAAACGAGCCTCTCCTGCTGATCATTCTCGGTCAACACACTCGGTGCAGGTGCGGACAATCCGCTACCGGGCCTTCATATAATTGTTAAGGTCTGGGTTTAAGGCAGGAAAATTGGAATCGAACCCACCAAGGAATACACACAAAAAACAAGTTCGAAGCAATCCATGGCCCGGGCTCGAATCGAACGAGCATCTCCTGCTTACTCTTTGAAGATTCTACCCAATGCAGGCACGGCCCGGGATCTCCCACCACCGGGCCTTCCTCTGATAGTTATGGGCTTGACTAACCTGGTGAAATTGGAATCGACCTCGGGGGGAAACAAAAAGAAATGTCTGTCGTATCCGACATGGCCCGGGCTCGAATCGAACGGGCAACCCCTGCATGTAAATGTGCGTGCCTCGATTCAAATAAGTGCGGCAGATGCGGACCTTCCGCTACCAGGCCTCTCTCTCCTACTTACGATCTTGGTTAACCAGGGAGATCCGAATTCAACTCGCCCAGGAACAAATAAAAAATTGCAGGGAACCCCTATATGGCCTGAGAACGAGCGTCTCCTACCTGGATATATGGGTAAATATAACAGGTGCGGACCATCCGCTACTGGGCCTTTCTCGGATAGTTATGAGCTTGAATAGGCCTGTGGGGTTGGGATTGAATTCACAGAGAGAGAGAGACAAAAGATCCAACCGGCCGTTGCATTGCCCGGACTGGAATCGAACGAGCATCTCCTGCCTATAGTCCTCGAAAGCGGGCTATCTATCCAGTACAGGTACGGACCATCCGCTACCGGGTCCTCTTCCGCAGGTTAAGACCCTGGTTACCCAAGGAATCAGAATCGAACTCACTGGGAGAAAGAAAACAATTGATCACACCACTTATGGCCTGGGCTCGAATCGAACGAGCAACTCCTGCTTATATAAGTCGAAAGACATATGATCCCCTGCAGGCACGGACCATCCGCTACCGGGCCTTGATATCCTCCTTGGGATTCTGGTTAACCCGACGATATTGGGATCGCACTCGCCAAGAAGCAAGAGCGAGATCCAGAGAGACCCATCGGGATGACCATGCTCGATCTAAGTAAAGGATAGCCATCCGCGATAAATCCAAAAGAACCCAGTATTACAGCTTCTTGCGGAACATAGGGCGCGGCCGTTTTTTTTTTTCCGTTTTGAGCCATTTTTGATCGTTTTGCTGAGATCGCCTGCTGTGGGCTCAGTTCATGGCCTATGCCTCTATAAACTATATAGCTGTGATCGCATGGCAATTCCGGAGGGCATGGCGTCTTCAGATTATGTGTAACATGTTTCTGGAAAATGTAATGCTATATTATGCGTACTTTACTGAGATCTCGTGCAGTGCGGGCAGACCTGAGTTGGATGACCTATGGGATCGTCCACACATACCTATGAGTGATTCGGAGGGCATTGTCAACTCAGAATGTGCTTTACAATTCCGTAGCAGACGAACGACGCAAAAGAGTCTGTGAAATCAGTGTTTACTGATTTGTCGCTCAGGATTGATCTACCTCGGTGTTCTGGGCAGTAAGTGACCCAAGGTCTGACCTGTGCCCAGCCTCCGATATCTTCGAGGGATTCCGTGGCTCACATTCGCCCTTGGTGTCCCTGTCCGGCGACGCGACGCGCCCCCATTTGATCGTGACCGTGGTCACGTGCGAGGAATTGCTCTGATCCAGTTGGCTCGCACTGCTGTAGGGGCCCTAAATGAGCAGATCTGAGCCATGTAAATCCTCAATAGCATTCAAAAATCCTTTCATACGCACTAACTTCGTTCAGTCAACCACAGGTCATATAAATATACAGAGTCAGAGCTGCCTCAATATTCAGCAACTTTAAGTCCCCAGAGTACATGTTCAACATCTCGCAGCTAAATTTCCAGTATGCTCTGACCTCAACCATGTGGATATATGTTTTTGGAGCCCTATAATATTCTACCCAAGCTTCAAGTTACGGTGCAGGAGGAGATCTCAGCAAAACACGCAAAGTAATATATTATAGTTATTAAAATACTCAGGCAATGAATCCGAAGGTCCCATGCCCTCCAGAGACCCTTTATGCATCGAAAAGGCCTACTCCCGAAGGAAACTACAGAGAATTGAGCCAAGGACAGCTGTCCTGGCGGAAACAATCAGAGCAATTCCTCGCACGTGACCACGGTCACGATCAAATGGGGGCGCGTCGCGTCGCCGGACAGGGACACCAAGGGCGAATGTGAGCCACGGAATCCCTCGAAGATATCGGAGGCTGGGCACAGGTCAGACCTTGGGTCACTTACTGCCCAGAACACCGAGGTAGATCAATCCTGAGCGACAAATCAGTAAACACTGATTTCACAGACTCTTTTGCGTCGTTCGTCTGCTACGGGACTGTAAAGCACATTCTGAGTTGACAATGCCCTTCGAATCACTCATAGGTATGTGTGGACGATCCCATAGGTCATCCAACTCAGGTCTGCCCGCACTGCACGAGATCTCAGTAAAGTACGCATAATATAGCATTACATTTTCCAGAAACATGTTACACATAATCTGAAGAAGCCATGCCCTCCGGAATTGCCATGCGATCACAGCTATATAGTTTATAGAGGCATAGGCCATGAACTGAGCCCACAGCAGGCGATCTCAGCAAAACGATCAAAAATGGCTCAAAACGGAAAAAAAAAAACGGCCGCGCCCTATGTTCCGCAAGAAGCTGTAATTGCGTCCGAACAATTTGAACACCATTTCAACCATCCGCCTCCAAAAGATCTTTCTCAACCCTCGCCATAGCCTCCTCCGTCACCCGCACAACCGGATACTCCACCCCTTGCGCCTTCCCCTCGATCACATCGCCCTCCCGCGTCCAGCTGAACAGCGCCCCCTCGAACGGGTTCCCCTCGATGAGCCTCGTGCCCCACCTCCGAGTCCGCGGGCAGAATGACTCCCGAAATCTAGCACACGGGCGTCGAACTCCGCACTCACGAAGAGGCCCTAAGGCGGCATACACGGTGCGGATGGCGGCCACCATCACCTCTGCATCCCAGCGCGCACCGCTGCAGTGCAGCGCCCATCCCCCGTCGCATCACACCCCGCATCACTCCGATCTCACCCAACACCCTTGTTGTGGAAGCCTCAAAGCCCCAACAGCCGCCCGAAAAGTCCCTTCCCCTTCCCGCCCTCCGGCGCAGCAGCCTTCACCTCTCCATCATACTGCAGCCTTACACTCCCATTCGATGTCTCCACGCTCAGCTCGTCGCCTTCCCACTCGCCCTCGCCCTCCCACCCGGCGAAATCTCCCACAAAGTACCGCCTCGTCCCTTCCGCCTCGCTGAACGGCGTCGTCTGCGCCGCGAGCGCGTCGGAGAGGCGCACCGCGCCGTGGCGTGTGCGCACGGTCACCGGCCCGCGGAAGGCGCGCGGGAGGTGGAGGGTGACGCTGCCGTTGGAGGTGTGCGCCGTGAAGTGCAGGGGCGCGCGCGCTTCCGGCGGGGCCGCGTGCTTTTTTCATCCATGTGAATTTAGCTTTACATGAAAAAGGGAGGGAGGAAGGGGGGGACGCACGATGCGCACGGCGATCGAGCCGTTAGACGACTTGAGGAGCACGGTGATCTTGCTTTTCTCGCCATCGCGTTTGGCGTCGGGGGCGGCGGCGGGGTCGGGGGCGGGTTCGGGGGTGCCGACGACGAAGAGGTCAACGTCGATGGCGCCGTTGCTGGTGTGCAGGAAGACGTTGCGGCGCGTGGCGGCTGTCTCGTCCGCCGCGAGCGGGGGGAGCATGAAGAGCGGGGTCTTGACGGCAGGGTCGATCACGTAGGCGCCCTTGATGGAGGCATTGCCGCGGCTCAGCGAGAGGAAGTTGGTGGGCTTGACGTCGGGCGGTGGGGGGGGAATCAAGGCTACGGCTGCGGGCGGCGGTTTTGGTGCCGATACGCTCGTCTGCGATTCGGGGCGGAAGTACACGGGTGGGGGGTCGTCCTGTGGTGAATGAGTGTCAAGGAATTGCACAGGAAATTCTGCGACGCACGGGGACGCTAGCGCGGTTCACGACGACATTCAGCTGCTTTACGTCCTTTAGGTCCGATTCCGGGGTGGTGATCATGGTGGGGTGGCGGGAGGAGGAATAGGATGCAGGCGTCAGACTGCGGCTTTATATCGTGGGGCCACGCGCCGGAGTGCGCAGTGCGAAGCAAGGTGCTGCGCTGCGGATGTCGGGATGATCCGGGGTGTATTAGTACTAGTATCACGGGTAGCCCGCTCTAAGTCCCTGGAAAGGCCCGCGAGAGCCGAGTCCCGTAGAGGAGGGTACAAGTAAGAGGTGTGGCCTGGTCCGAGCGGTGAGTCGAGCTGATGAGGAAGCGGTAACATGTAAGCGATGCAGCACTGCCACACAATTGCCGAAGGAAATGAACCGAAAATCATCAGAAAATCGGAAACAGCTCTTGGATGGCTCAAAGACAGCTTTGTGTGATGTCGCAGGTATACATTATTGACCTATCTATCCAACATAGAGGGCACGTTGATAATGTCCGACTCGGACCGAGGTCTTCAACCAACGGCCTCATCTCGCATCACATCGCCGATCCGCTTCTTCACCAGAACCCGCACAGCGGAATACTCCACCCCCGGCCAAAATCCGCGCAAGGACCTTCCTCTGATAGCGATGAGCTTGGTTTAACCAGCAAAATTCAAACTCATCGAGGAACAAGACAAAAAGAAACGACCGCCTCGTCATCCAATGCCTAGGCTCAGATCGAACGAGCATCTCCTGCTGATCATTAGTGAGAAGATATCCAGTCAAGCGCGTAACATCCGCTCCCAGGCCTTAATATTACAGTGAGGAGCTTCGGTATACCTGCAAAGCTCGAAACCACTGAGAGGTAAAAAAGTGGCAGATATACAGCATGGCCCAGGCTCGAATCGAACGAGCAACTCCTGCTCATGTTTGTAGAGAAACATGGTATCCAGGCACGGAACATCCGCGACCGGGCCTTCACATAACAGTTAGGACCTTGGTTAACCCAGCGAAATTTGAACTCACTAAGAGATAAAAAGTTCGAACGAGCCTCTCCTGCTTATCATCGTTGAGGATCCGCAAAATACAGTGCAGATGCGGGCCTCCCAATACCAGGCCTTTCTATCGTAGTTAAGAGCAGGAAAATTGGAATCCAACTCACCGAGGAACAAGACAACACCATTCACGGCACGGGCTCGGATCGAAAAAACATCTCTGCTTACTCTTCGAAGAAGAAATATCTAGTGC